CTTCTTTCCACAGTTGTAGCACTTTAAATTCTTCTTGCTTCTCGACTTCGATCTACCATGTTTGTGACTGTTGTTTTGGCCACGTTATGTTGATCTTCCTATCATCGTTGTCAACGCTTCTGCTTGTTGCATATTTACTTGTTTGTCTTCCTTGTTCTTTCACCGATTTTTTTCTTGTAGAACAACAGCTGCAACGTCATCGAATACTAAACTGGTGACATTACCGTTTGTCAAGTTGATGATGAGTTGATAATACGAATTCAGTAGACTTTGAAGTAGAAGTTCAACACGTTCTTGTTCTCCTATTTTACACCTTAAGGATGCAAGATGAGAAAATAAAGTGTTTAGTGTGTTTAAGTGTTCCGTCACTGAAGTAGATTCTGACATACGGAGAGTGTATAATTTCCTCTTAAGGAAAATTTTATTGTGCAACGATGTGGCCTCGTACAGTTTGGTGAGATGATCTCATATCTCCTTAGTTGTCTTCTTCTCCTCGATGCTTGACAATACTTCATCTGCTAATGCTAGATGAAAGTTTGCCATAGCATTCTCATCCATCTCGTTCCATTTGCTGTCATCTATGAAATCCACCGGTCTTTCACTGATAGCTGCTAGGCAACCGTCTTTCCTCAGGATGGCCTTCATCTTTAATTTCCACAATGAGAAATTTCTCCCATTGAACTTTTCAATATCAAATTTCATTGCCATAGCTTCTATTACGGATAGCTCCCACTATTTCACTATCGTGAATAGTTCTCTGGAACCTTCAAAGAATGAGTAATACCTTTTTACTTTCTTATGTTGGAGGATCCACCTTTTGGTAGCAACCACAAAAACAATAAGCATATATTACACATTCAAATATGGCTCGGATACCAATTGTTGAGGAATACGACTATCGAATAAAGCAAAATTGCAATTGATAATTTGAGAAAATAAAAATGAGAAGACACAAATTTTACGTGGAAAATCCCTAAATAATATAGAGTAAAAACCACGGGCAACAGTAGAAGAATTTCACTATGAGAATATAAGAATTACAATCTCTCTCGATCTAACAAGGAGAAAACAATGACAATTCTCTCTTGATAAAAGAGAGAAAACAACTCTCAAGAAAACTCTCTAAATTCTCTAGTATTGGGAGAAAGCTAGAATGATTTGGGATGATTTTGAAGCTAAATGGGTTAGGGTATTTATAGTTGAAGCTTAAGGACTAATCTTGTAAATACCCTAAAGTACAATGACTAAAATTAAAATTTTACCATTACTCAATTTCAACAAAAATTAGGTGCCTAATTTTTGAGTTTGACTATGCACCCTTCGGTCCCTAATTTGGTGCCTAATTTTATTTGACTTTTAACAATTGGGTCATGAATTCATTGTCTTCCATGGAAATTTCTTCACTCCTCCCTCTGTCAATTACCTTCGAAAAGTAGTATGGTTTTCATTTTACTCGAAACATTGGCCTACAAAGTGATTAGTGATAATATTATTCAAAATGAAATCTTTATTTGTGATATTATTATGCATTCTCCTCGCTTCCACCCTCTTCGTCTCCAGCATGGCTCGACAATTGGAGAGTAAGTAACTTCAGCACTTTTGTAGTAGTTTCTCATTAGTTTTATACATAAGCAATAGAAAATAAGTTGAGTTGTTTGTGTTAATTTTGCAGAATTGCAACCTCCTGTCCAGTACTGTAGGCACCCCCCTCCTTGCCATCGATCTTTACCTAAACCTTGAATGTCATGGGGAACTGAGAGATTTCAAACGTTAATGCCTTACAAGTTACAGTTAAGAGCTTTCGTCCGTGGCTTCTTTAAGACTTAACTACTCTCCCATGTATCTAAAACAAACACTGCTTCTTCTTTAATAAATTCATTTCCTTTTTATAATTCAATCAATGTTTAAATAGTTTACGTACATTTTATTTCGGATGACCAGAACATTAGCATCATGAAAGTTGAGTAATTATTCAAGTGGTTTACCCTAATATTATTTTATGAGTTTTTTTTTATACGGATACAAAATAATAACCTTTAACTAGAACAACTTAAAACATTACATGAGAATAGAACATGCGACTAATACATATATATGGGTAAAGTACACAAATGGTCCGCTAATTATAGGGTATTGCTTTGTTGAGTTCCTGACTATTGAAAGTTACAAATGGTTCTATAACTATAAGGCGATGCTTTGTTGAGTCTCTGACTATTAAAAGTTACAAAATAGTCACATGACTAATCATATGTTACAGACTCGTCATTTTCTTTTGAAAAATTGGAGTCTGTTTGAGCTGGACATTAACCTGTTCACTGGTATATGATAAAATCTTGTCCTAGTATTATTTGAGTTGTTTTTTTGGATCGAGTCTTTTTTGCATTATGACGTCGATCAAGTGTTTTAAACATTATATCGTCAAGCCTATGCTTTTAAACCAACAACGTTGCCAATATACATCATTAAAAAATGATTTTATCATATCTCAGTCATTATATTAACATCTAACTTAGACGACTTTCATTTTCTTTAACAAAAAAGACAAGCTTGGAACATATAAATAGGCATGTGACCATTTTGTAACTTTTAATAGTTAGAGAACTTAAGAAAGCAACATCTTATAATGGAGGGACTATTTTGTAACTTGGAATAGTCTGGAAAGTCAACAAAATAACGTCTTATAATAGATAGACCATTTATGTCCATTACCCTAAATTTGCTTTACACACATTTTAACACTCCTTATATAATCAATCAGGGCACATTTGAAAAGTTAAATTATAATTGGATTTTAGCCTAATTACACATTTTAACACTCTTTATTTGTGATATTATGCATTCTCCTCGATTTCATCCTCTTTGTCTCCAATTTCAGCATGGCTCAAGAATACAATAGTAAGTAACATCAACACATGTAATACTTCTAGTGTTAATATCCATATATGTGTGTGGACGATTTTAATTATGTATAACATGGGGTTTTAATTTTGTAGAACAACCTCCTACCCAGATCTGTTACCCCAGCCGTCATTGCCATATTGATTATTTACCCAAACCTTTAATATGATGAGCAAGTGAGAGAGATTTAAGAGTTAAAATAGATAATACTCTGCAAGTTGCGTATAGATCTCAACTTATACTTTATTTGTAATAAATAATTGTTGTTAAATTTAGCATATTATCATTTTGGTCTTTCTTACGACTGCTAAGAGTTGATGGGATTTTTCTTTCTCTTCTCTCTCGGACCTTATCTCCATTCTCTACTGTTTGAGTATGGCCCTCCATCCCATTAAAAGAGATGAATCGCGGTCGATCAATCAATCAACCCACCATCTACTTCAAAATACACTAAATCATTACCTAACCTGATGACCATCAACAATAATTACAAGGCTAATTAATTACGGATTTACGGTTAATTTTTTTTACTTCAGTTTATTGAACTGAAAAATATTAATGCTGGTGTATCAAATAATGTGTATATATTGAGAACAGCTTCACAAAATGTGCAAATTATAGCATTCCAAGATCTACACTAAAATGGAACATAACAAAATCGGGTAATCGTTTTCACGTCCCCGACGCTTGCTCCTCGTCCGCCCCGGCAGCGCGTCCCGGCAACCGGTTTGTTTCTCGTCAGTTCCCTCTTCCGGTCCACCAGGAAACAAAAGCACGCCATTGTCAAGCCACACAAAGAAAAAAGAAAGAAACCTCAACCATTGTCAAATCCAAACTTCAAGAGGATATGAGATTTATACAGACCAAATGTTTCATTAAATGACAACTATATTAAACCAGGGACCATGGACCATGGACGAACGCAAGAATTTATGTTGGAGGATGTAAACTTAAGAAGTTATATTAAAAATTGTAGGGGGTGCGAAGTTATAAAATTTGAGGAGGTACGAAATTAGTTAACCAATAGAAAATATGAAGAAAAAATTTAAAACGTAAGAAAATTTAAACTTTTTAGAGGTACTACCGTACCCCTCCGTCCATCTCTGTATGTAACATTGACAACCATTGGACACATCCATTTAATTCAACCAAGTGTGCAGCTGCCATTGACAATAAGATGATTCACTTGAAGGAAACAGTTGGGAGGTTTGATTAAATGGTAAAAATGGAGGAACAAGATCCTTTTTTTCAAATATTTCTTCTTTCGTGCTTTCTTTCTTTTCACATTGAGGGGGCAAAGTCAGGATTTGATACAAAAATGGAAGATGAAGTCAATATTAAGCAGCCATCAGATTATTGAGGAAAATAAATCAAATTATTTTTGGTATAACAATAAGATTGGTCCTCAATATTTCATTATTGTTTTAAAAAAAATTAGTTTCACTCCTTAATCTTTTATATAATTAATGGGCTTAAATACTCATACAAAAATAAAAATATTAAATTTAAACATGCAAAGAAAAAAAAATCTTTCATTGAAAATGATGATTCAACTTTAAAAGAATACAATAATATTCATAAAAGATCATTATCTCTATCGAATGAAATGTTTTACGAAATAATAAAAGAATAGTAAGTGAACCAAATATTTAACAGACTATTTTACTATACAATTATGATTTATCGTTATTATTACTAATACAATAATTTTTAACCTTTAAACTTGATATTTTTAATTTTGATAATTTTTATTATTTTCAAACTTTATAATGATATGACACTGAAATAGGAAAGTACAATTTCTTCAAAATGATTAAAAATGGATGAAAATCCAAGTTCAAGACTAAAGCAGACAGAAAATCTACAGGACTAATCTGAAAGGTGTTCTAGAGTCAGGGACTAAAAGTCGCTTTACCCCGAAGCTTTACACCTTCCATCATATCCCATGACATCGACGGTCTTTATTCATTCAAATCCTGACGTGGCAAGAAAAGGTTGCTCAAAATGGAAACTTTTCCCCGAAAATCATTTAAAAAAAAGAGGAAATAGAATCACTATTTTTTTTTTTGTCTTCAGAAGGGCTTCACTGGTTTAAATTTAAAGTTACGAACTTTAAAGCCGAAGCCATTGATGCCTTTGCATTGAAGCACAAGTCAAAAACAGTGACAACCAAATATACCCCGAGTCTCTCTGCAGAATTCCCAAAGTTTTTTCCCCTTTTGGAAGGTTCTTTGTTCTTTTTGTTTGCTGTTGAGAAAGATTGTTTCCAGCATGACGGAGGAGAATGACAAGTACGGCAAAGAGTTGGATTTGGCTGTTAGAATTGTGCATATGGCTTGCTCTTTATGTCAGAAAGTGCAACAAAGCTTGGTTTCTGCTGCTTCTCGACATATTTTGGCTAAGGATGATGATTCTCCTGTTACTATTGCAGGTACCTTTTTTATTGCATCAAATTATAGTGTTTGGGGGCATTTGGTTTCTTCAATTGGGTGGTATTTATCTTTGCATTTTCTTTTGTGGGTTTGATTTGAATGAGGCTCTTGACAGTGGGTTTGTTTTGTTTTTTCAATTGGGGATTGAGGGGTATGAATTTGCAAGAAAAATTAAGAGAAAATTTGGAACTTTTATTATTGTTCGAGTGATTGGAAAATTTTCATTAGGTTGTTCGAGTATTGTCATTTTGGTTCTTCCTTTCTGTAATTTTTGTCTAAGGAAATACATTGTTGAAAAGGAAAATGTTGAGAACTTTGTTCCCATACTGCTGAATGGATTTGATAGTGCAAACTTAGGGAATGAGGTAAAGATTGTTATTGGCTGTTCAGTTTTAATTTCTGAGATGATCAGTTTGGTTCGGAAACCAGGGCCTTCGGTTATATTTCGACCGCGGTTTGTCCGGATTCACTGACATTAGTGAATAATGGAAAGGAACTCCATAACCCTCTTGATAATTGCAAAAGTACATAGCTGGTCCTATGAAATTAAACACGGTTAATATGAAAATAGCAGTCGTTTGTTTGTTTTATATGTCGGGGAAGCTAGGGTGTATGTTTTCCAATTCAAAGGGATTACGAAACTGATTAGTAAATTCGTTAGAGTTCAGTTGTAGATTATGTTGATTGCAAATCATGTTTGTCGTGTGCTAGTATGCAGAAATGCAGGCGTCGGTGCTTGAACATGATTGTAATCCATTGCTTAGACGTGCACTAGTACTGCTGGAGGTTTAATTGATTGAGTGATTAAAGGTAATACAATGGAGTTGCCTCACAAATCATTTGGCTTTCCACCTCGATTCTTTATTTTCCCTTTTCTTTCATGAATCAAACTTTCTCCCTCTACGTTCGGGAAGGAAAAAGCTTTGTGCGGAGAGGGTCTTGTACTTGAAATGCAGTTTACAGTAAATGGTTTCATAACTGATCATCGTACTTATGTAGTATATACTTGTCTGTTACAGTCCTTTTTTACTCAATGTCTACTGTTTATGTACTTGTGTTAATTATTTGCATGGTGTTTGTGAAACTTTGATTTTTCATTGATTTTTTTATCATCTCAATCTTAACAGACTGGAGTGTCCAAGCAACTGTTAGTTGGCTGCTTTCCGAGTTCTTGGAAGGGCAGAGTGTATCCATAGTTGCTGAAGAAGATGTCCAAACACTCTCAAAGTCTGATGCAGCAAGTTTACTTGAAGCTGTTGTCAACACTGTGAACGAATGCTTAGCCGAAGCACCAAAATATGGTCTCCAGCTGCCAAAGAAAGCTCTCGGGACTTCACAAATCCTTGAGGCTATCAGTAGATGCAACTCAACAGGGGGCCCAACTGGAAGACATTGGGTTCTGGACCCCGTTGACGGGACATTGGGTTTTATACGTGGTGACCAGTATGCTGTAGCTCTAGCTTTGATCGAGGACGGGAAGCTAGTTCTCGGAGTTCTTGGTTGCCCCAATTACCCTATGAAAAAGGAGCTCTTGAATTATAATCATCAGCGCAATCAAACTATGCCAAAGGCTTCGCCATCTTCTGATATTTGGCAAAAAGGATGTGTGATGTATGCAAGGAGAGGAAGTGGTCGGGCATTGATGCAACCATTGATCCACGGGGATACAAAATTTGAATGGCCAAATTCTGCTACATTGGTAAAGGCTTCTGCCGTTGATGATCCATCACTGGCAACTTTTTGCGAACCTGTGGAAAAGGCAAATTCAAACCACTTGTTTACGGCGGGGCTTGCGAACAGCATAGGTGTCAAGTGTGTTACTTTTATTTTCACTCCTAGTTCATTTCTACCTGTTAATGTTTGAGAAGAATAAACAAGTATACTGGTTAGAAATTATACAGTGTCTGCGAGGCCATCTTGTTTGATTCTAATACATGTTTTCATTCATTCTAATGGCAGAAACCAACCTATGCGAGTCCATAGCATGGTAAAATATGCAGCAATAGCTCGGGGTGACGCTGAGGTTTTTATAAAGTTTGCAAGATCCGGGTACAAAGAAAAGATATGGGACCATGCTGCCGGTGTTGTTATCGTAGAAGAAGCTGGTGGGGTTGTAACTGATGCAGGAGGTAGCCCGTTGGACTTCCGTTGGGGACTGTACTTAAAAGGTCTTGACCGGGGGATTATTGCTTGCTCTGGACCAATACTGCATGATAAAATCATCGGAGCTGTATATGCAAGCTGGGATTCTTCAAATCTGTGAGACTTCCTATATCTTGCCAATGCAGTCATCCCACATCTAACTATGTCAGGGTGAGCGTATTCTGAGAAGGATGCTGATGTGCATCCGTTTTAAGGGTATGAAAATTTCCAAAGTCTGATCATTTACTTCACCTTCAGTTCCGATCTTACCATCACAGATTCCTTGGTTTTTATTAGCAATAGCTCCCTTACTATAGCTTTTCTAAGGGAAATTTTACTGTCATCAATGGAGATTCTTTAGTATGAGAAAGCTTAAGCTGATGCTTCTATCCTATGCTAAGCTTACGGAACTGAACCGATACATAATGTTTTGGACGCATACTCATATATGATTTTCGCTTCGGAGAAATACATATTTTCTTCTATGTTTCTCAAGTAGTTCAAAATGGGTATATTCTGTATTTTCTTCTTTGTTCCTGCATTTTCCGGGAAAGCATATGAATGCTGCCTCATCCATTCATCCTACTGACAACTTCGGTTTGTGTGACTGCACGTGGTTTATGCGGACCGTTTTAAACACCGGCTTCTTCGATATTGCAAATTAAATCGAGAATCAATCACCGCGTTCGACATAGATATGGTTTCGAGTTCATGACATTCCTGGAAACTGCACACTTCATCCCAAGTCGATGCTTTTGATTATATATTTCCCGGTGACAGCTAAGATAATGAACTGCTCCAATTACGAAAGGAAGCATCCTCTGCAGCTATCTTCCAAATTCAGATTTTAATTATCTTTTCGTTGACAAAATAGTATGCTGAATTCGGCGTTTTTACCCAAAAATCACTAAAATATTATAACATTACCTATTAGTTATTGTTTCCCAAATTTTATCAATCTTACCAAAAACACATCCCCTAAATGCACTTTCCAAGAAAAATGTTGGGGGCGTGCCTTCGAAAGTTATCTTGCCACATCAGATTTTGTTAAAACATATTTTAAAAATATATTTAAAAAAGTAAAATTATAGGGACCAAAAATCCGAGATAATATACGATTTTTCCAATTTTTTTTGGATTTGCGATAGTCTACAGTTGTCGTTGCGATTTTCCAAATTCGTTGCGATAGTTAAAAAAAAAGATTTTGTTTCTTAAGAATTTTCTCTAAAAAGATAGTATCCGCGCGGACGTGTCGAAGACACGTATTACCACGACTACGACCACGACCCGAGACGAGACCAGACGGTGGCGGCGGCGGTGCGCGAGAGTCCCCCTTGTTCTCTTTCACTCAACAAAGAAGTGCAAAATCCAAGCCTTAAAAACCATTCCCAATAGTGTTTTCAATACTATGTGAGATTGAGCATTACCCCACTTTTTCTAATTTTTTACTTTTAACAATGTTTTGAAACAAGTAAAAGTAGTCCTTTATTTTGATGACTTTGCTTGCATATATAGCAACTTACATTCTTAAGAGTAATATACGTAGATATCATGTGCTTAATTTAAGTAGCATAGGTTATCATCATTTCTTCAAGTATAAGAATACAAACCCGACAGAACCTCCACCAGAACCAATCATGCAACGCTTGTGGCAATGAACGTTATTCAACTCTTCAAGCAACAATCTTCACAATAGGATTGGTAATGCTCAATCCCACATAGTATTGGAAATACTATTGGGAATGGTATTTAAGGCTTGGATTTTGCACTTCCTTGTTGAGTGAAAGAGAACAATGGGGACTCTCGCGCGCCGCCGTCGCCGCCGTCTAGTCTCGTCTCGTGTCGTGTCGTGTCGTGGTCGTGGTCGTGGTCGTGGTAATACGTGTCTTCGACACGTCCGCGCGGATACTATCTTTTTAGAGAAAATTCTTAAGAAACAAAATCTTTTTTTTAACTATCGCAACGAATTTGGAAAATCGCAACGACAACTGTAGACTATCGCAACGCGAAATGGAAAATCGCAACGCGAAATGCAACGCGAATTAGAGATCACATTGCGATTTTGTTGGTCATTTTCGCAAATCCAAAAAAAGTTGGTCAAAATCGTATATTATCTGGGATTTTTGGTCACTGAGGTTATTTTCTCTATAATTTAATACATAGTTCCATGAGTTGAAGAGTCTAATAATATTAATTTATATAAACATATTGGAGTGTTTAGGTTATGTTTCTTGACAATGTGAGATAAAAGCTAAAATGAGTATTCCTTAACTTTTTTTATGTTATCTGTATATCTAATATCTAATGAATCTACTTATACACTAATGTTAAATTTCTTTAGGTTAATATTTATTATTAAGGTTTATTATTTAAGATTAGATATTTTTATATGTTAATATATTTAAATACTTATTTTTTAATTATGAGTTCAAAAAATTTATGTAACACAAATTAAAAATATTTCATTGGCATATAAATGTATTATTTATTGAATATGATTTAATTAGATCTATAATTTAAGTTGAATCTGATATAAAAATATGAAAAAAATATTGTTTGGTGACATGAACATGTAAGATGTAAGGTTTATATAGAAATTTGTTCTCATGAATAATTAAAAAAATCATAGAACAAAATTTATGTATATAAATGATAACGCCATTAGTTGTTACTGCTAAAATGATAATATAAATTAGTTTAAAATGATAATATAAATATTTTTATAAGTTATATAATCATACAATTAGGATCACATAACAATCTAATTAATCATATTTAATAAATAATACATTTATATGTTGAAATATTTTTAATTTGTGTTACTTAAATTTTTTGAACTCATAATTAAAAAAATAAGTATTTAAACATATTAACATATAAAAAATATCTAATCTTAATTAATATAAATTTTTAATAATAAATATTAACCTAATGTAATTTAACAATAGTGTATAAGTGGATTAATTAGATATAGAGATAAAAAAAAGTTAAGGAATACACAATTTAGCTTTTATCCTACATTGTCAAGAAACATAACCTAAACACTCCAATATTTCTATATAAATTAACACCATTGAGCTCTTTAACTCATGGAACTAATATGTATCAAATTATGTTGTTAGTCCTTATAGTTTTATTTTTCAACTTTTTTAAAAGTATTTTTTTTAAATGCGTTTAGGAAATATGATGTGGCAAGAAAACCTGAAATGTGCAGTCCTTGAAAGGCGTTTTTCCGTATAGTGCCATGTAAATATTTCCTCAGGAAAACGTGCTCCAAGAGATAAGCCTTCGGTCCACCTAAATTAAGGCGTGTTTCACGTAACGCGTCTTATTATTACGTTATCTAGTGTTAGATCGTAAAATTTGGAGAAATTGTGCCTGAGATGTAATATTATAATATTTGAGTGATTTTTGGGAAAAAACACGGTTGAATTCCATGTTTAGACTTTGAAAAAATAAGGTTAATTTTCATAAATATTTTAAAAACACAAGTCAAGCCCATGTCTCAGGAAATGCGACTAATATAAGACTAATATACAACATTACCAGATACATTAAAAGATATTTAATAAATTCGATTTAGCGCTACCTATTATGTTGACAAACCAATAATGTTTTAGGTAGAAAACATGAAAAACTATTAAAAAAATTTGGTAACCGATAAACTTTGGTTATCGGTAACTATCGATAAATATATATAAGTGTTCATACTTATTTCACTGTGAACAACATTAATTTAAGGTTATCTTTTGTGTGAGATTTAAGATATTAATTTAGTAATTATACGCTTCTAATGATTTATTTTTTATGTTATGGTATATATTATTATTAAATTAAAAACAATAAACATAGATATTACATATTTATCATTATCTTTGGTTAAAATTGTTAAATTTAAATTCTAAATAATATTTTATAAAATATCAAAACAATCAAATAATTTTTTGTGTAAATAAAATTATTAAATTAATATTGTAGGTGGAAAACATGAAACACTATTAAAAATTGTTGAAACATAAATTACATAACTTTCAAAAAAGTATCGATCATTTTTATAAAAAGTATTTATACTTTCAACATATTAGATAAATTTACCGGTTTTGTAATAATGAAACTGATTTTGTCATATTTTTACCTGTTATACTGTAAAGTATCTATCTTTTTTATAAAAGGATCGATATTTTCAACATATAAGGTAAATTTTATCGTTTTTGTCATAATGAAACTGGTTTTGTCATATTTTTACTTGTTATATTATAAAGTATCGATCATTTTTATAAAAGGATCGATACTTTCAACATATCAAGTAAATTTTACCGTTTTGTCATATTTTTACTTGTTATATTGTAAAATATCGATACATTTTTATAAAGTATCGATACTTTATAGGTGCTATTACTCCTTTTCTTTTAAATTCCAAAAGTGTCGATACTTATTTAAATGGAATCGATACTTTCAACATATCTGGTAGGTAGTTTAATGTAATAGGTAAGTATTTCACTGTGAAAAATATTAATTTAAGGTTATCTTTTGAGTGATATTTAAGATATTAATTTAGTAATTATACGCGTTTAATGATTTATTTTTTATGTTATGGTATATACTATTATTAAATTAAAAACAATAAACATAGATATTACATATTTATTATTATCTTTGGTTAAAATTGTTAAATTTAAATTCTAAATAATATTTTATAAAATATCAAAATAATCAAATAATTTGTTGTGTAAATGAAATTATTAAATTAATATTGTATGTGGAAAACATGAAACACTATTAAAAAATTTTGAAACTTAAATTACATAACTTTCAAAAAAATATCGATCTTTTTTATAAAAAGTATTTATACTTTCAATATATCAGGTAAATTTTACCGGTTTTGTCATATTTTTACCTGTTTTATTATAAAGTATCTATCTTTTTTATAAAAGGATCGATACTTTCAACATATAAGGTAAATTTTACCCTTTTTATCATAATGAAACTGATTTTGTCATATTTTTACCTGGTATATTGTAAAGTGTTTATCCTTTTTATAAAAGGATCGAAACTTTCAACATATTAAGTAAATTTTACCCTTTTTGTCATAATGAAACTGGTTTTGTCATATTTTTACCTATTATATTGTATAATATCGATACATTTTTATAAAGTATTGATACTTTATATACGCTATTACTGCTTTTTTTATAAATTCCAAAAGTGTCGATACTTATTTAAATGGAATCGATACTTTCAACATATCTGGTAGGTAGTTTAATGTAATAGGTAAGTATTTCACTGTGAAAAACATTAATTTATGGTTATCTTTTGAGTGAGATTTAAGATATTAGTTTAGTAATTATACGCGTCTAATGATTTATTTTGTATGTTACGGTATATACTATTATTAAATTAAAAACAATAAACATAGATATTACATATTTATTATTATCTTTGGTTAAAATTGTTAAATTTAAATTCTAAATAATATTTTATAAAATATAAA